TCTGCGTGAAAAAGTCTTTGACCTCCTTAAGGCGGCGGGGGGCGTCTGCGGAACGGGGGGGGGCACGAGGAGCACCAACGCCGTCGGGTCGTCCCTCCTTCCCTCCCGCATGCGCTTCCTGCCTTCCCCTGTCGGCACAGCTGACCACGGCTGTCTTTGCTTCTCCTTCTTTGCTCCAGTGAGGCGTCGCTGCAGTGACGCAGTAGTAGTGGCAACGGCCCTTGTTCCGCCGGAAAAAAAAGGGTAGTCAGTCCCTCGTGCGGGAAGAGATGAATAGCGATAAGCTTTTTGACATCATATTCAACATGAAGTTCACCATGAAACAGATGAACAAAAGCGCCAGCGCGGCTGAGAAGGCGAGCGAGAAGGAGAAACTCCTTGTAAAAAAGGCGCTTGAAAAGGGGAACCCCGAAGCTGCCCGCATCTACGCACAAAACGCCATTCGAAAGAGAAACGAGTCGTTGAATTATCTTCGCCTTGCCTCCCGCATCGACGCCGCGGTGTCACGAATACAAACGGCGGAGAGTATGCGGGCCGTGACCGCGTCGATGAAGGGCACCGTGCGCGGGATGGCGAAGGTGATGGAGTCGATGGACCCGATGAAGATAGCCAAAGTGATGGACGCGTTTGAGCAGCAGACAGGCACGCTTGACGTCAACCTTGGCACGATGGACGCCGCCTTTGAAAGCACGCAGGCCGGGACCGTGCCTGTGGGCGAGGTGGACTCCCTCATGAGCCAGATTGCGGCTGAAAACAACTTTGATATCAGCTCAAAGATGAGCGGGGTGCCTCTGCACAGCCAGCTGCGCCCGGCGATGGCGACAGGGAGGGAAGCGGAGGAGGATGCCGAAACCCAGGAGATAATGGAGCGACTGGAGCGCCTGCGCGGCAATGCCGTGTAAACACGCGAAGCCAGCGAGAAGCCGTGAACCGAGTTGACGTGGCTCATGGCGATGACGTCGTGGTGTTTGTTGTTTTGCTTTGCTTCTGGTGCTCGTGTTGGTTGCGGCGCCGGCGTCCATGAGTTTGTTTTCCTGAGGTATCCTACGGGAAGGAAGTGACGAAAAAGCGGAAAACGAAAAGAAAGAAAAAACGCCTGAGGCACATCGGCAGCAACGGCAACAGCGACAGTCGTCTCGGGGTTCGAGAGGCCGCAGCAACGCCTTGACCCCTCTGCGTTAGTTCAAAATTTCTGCATTCCATCTTTATCTCTGTGACTGTAAGTGCTTGGGTGCGGCACTGTCCATTATATTTTTTCACCCTTTCTTTTCCATCCTCTTCGCCCTGTTGCTTGTGTCTTTATATATATATGTGCGTGTGTGTGTGTTTTTTTTTTTTACTTCGCTATCCTTTACTTTCACCTTGCCTACATAAGTGCTTGGAGGGATGCAGAGAAGCGTCAAACGTGCGGCCTCTGCCGGGGCTGACGAAGTTCCTGTCACCCGCAGGCGGCTGCGCGACGGTGTGGAGGCGGCGGAGGCGGAGACTGAGGCGGAAAAGAAGCGACCAAAGCAGGAGGCCGTCGCGCCCCGCCGCGCCCCCAAGGACGAGGACGAGGAATGGGAGGACGCCACCGACGACGAACAACAAGAGGAGGCGGAGGACGGAGAGGACTGCATCAGCGTGGATGAGGGGCTGGGCGAGGTGATTGAGGAGGAGATCGTCGACGAGGACGAGGATGACGACGAGGACTACGCTGAATTCCAGCGTGAGGCGGATGCCGTGACGAAGGGCCTGCGACGCGTCACGTTTGACGCCGACGCCGACGCGCTGCAGACGCAGCAGCTGCAGAAGGGCGGTGACGGGGAAGAGGAGGAGGCCGCGCCCACCGTGTGGCGCAGCGATCAGGCGGGGGAGGGGCGCAGCAGCTCGCGTACTCCAACAAGGCATACGACTCCTTCTTTCAGTTGCGCACGGAGTACCCGTCTCTCTCCTTTGATGTGATGCGGGACAGGGACGCCGTGGGTCACACCACATATCCGCTAGCGCTCACGCTGGTGTGCGGCTCACAGGCAGACGAGCTCTCCAAGAATCAACTTTACGTGCTACGCATCACCAACATTTGCCGGACAAAGCACGATGGCGAGAGTGACAGCGACAGTGACGGCAGCTACATTGGGGACGATGGCGATAGCGAGGACGACAAGGATGAGGAGGAGGGTGAGGAGGTCAACAACGGTGAGCCCATAGTGCAGCATCGGACCATTTCTCACTACGGCACAGCAAACCGCCTCCGTTGTGCCCATCATAATACAAACTTAGTGGCTGTGTGGTCAGACGCTGGGCACGTTCAAGTATTTGATCTGGAAAATGAGGTGACAATGTTGTGTGATTACAAGAACTGGGTAAAGAGTCAGGGGAAACCTACGGTGCAGAAAAAGCCCTCCGCACTGGTCTTTTGTACGCCATCAACGGCGCACAGAACTGAGGGGTATGGATTGGACTGGAGCCCCACGGTTCAGGGCGTCTTCGCTTCTGGAGACTGTGACGGAAACTTATTCGTCTGGCAGCCCTCTGATGATGGCCGCTGGCGGGCGGCTGCCAGCAGCACAAGTGAGACGCAATCGCCTTCAGTCGAGGAGATTCAGTGGAGCCCCACGCAGGCCGATGTGCTTATCGCCACCCGCGTCGGTGGCGTGGTGGAGGTGTGGGACACCCGTGACATGCGGAAAAGTAAGATTCACTGGCAGGCAGACCCCACAGACATCAACGTTGCCGACTGGAACAAGGCACGACAGGCTTCACACCTGCTTGTGACCGGCGCCGACAGCGGGGCAGTGGCGGTGTGGGATCTCCGCAAGGTCTCTGAAGCCACTCCAATTCAGAGGTTGCCGTGGCACAGGGGGAGCATCACATCGGTAGAATTTTCTTTGCACAATGAGAGCGTGCTGGCCGTGACGGGAGACGATGGGCAGTGCACGCTGTGGGACCTCAGCCTTGAGCGCGATCCCAGCGAGGAGAAGGAGGTGATCGGCGAGCTCTTTGGGCGACAGGACCTGACAGGCATTCCCGACCAACTGATGTTTCAGCACCAGGGGCTGGAGCACCCGAAGGAGGTGCACTGGCATGCGCAGATCCCTGGCATGGTGATTACGACCGACTACTCCGGGCTGCACCTGTTCCGGCCGATGAACTGGCGCTCGCTTATGAAGTAAGAAGGAGGAGAGAGTGAAGGCAAGACACGCACAAGGAAAAACAAAAAAACAACAACAACAAAAAACATGGATTCAAAAAAAAAGGAGGGATGAGGGAAAGAACATTTTGAAGAGCAGAGAAAAGTCAAATGAAAAAGAAGAAGGGACACAAAGAAGCAAGACCGAAGGGGGGGGGGGACCGATGAAGAAAGAAATATGAAAAACCAAGACAAAACAACAACAGCAAGAGGCTCCTGGGAGTATGGGGAAGAGGGGCACCTGCTTCAGCTTCTGTCGAGTAATATCGGCTAATACTGCGCCTGTAACACTAAATATATATATATATATATTGCTTCCTACCCTTTTATGAATTCATTTTCTCCAAAGCTGTTTTTACGCTGGTTTTATTGGCACTCGCTTGTTTCCCTTCCTTCCCATCACTTTTTTTCCCCCCTGCTTTGGGGTGTCTCTTGACGGCCCCAAGCTTAGATTTGAGGGCCACAACGGGCTTTACTTCTACTGCCAAGTCAAGCGCCATTAGATCAGGAGGGAGTAGAGCGGCATATCCCATCTGGCAGCCATGAATCTACTGTTCCCAATTGCCCTTTTGCTTGTCAATTGGAGCATTGACTCCACTGACCCGGAGGTGCGGCAGGCTATCACCTATCTCTTCATTCTGGTGCACGTGATACTTTTCGCCGTGGCGATTTATCTCTTCGGCCGCATTTTGGTCCGCAATGACACCCGTGCGTTGCAGGTGACGGACTCGTATTCAAATGAGGTCCAGCAGATGACCGTGGCGGACTACGACTTTTCCAAGTGGCGCGCTTTGTTTTTTATGAAGCTGCTGTTACCACTCGTGGTGGGCCAGTTCGTGGCGTCGCGGTGGGAGACGCCCTTCCCACTGCTGCTGCAGTGCGCCATGAACCCTGTCACGATGTTTCGTTCCCCGCTCTTCCAGCTTCACGTGCTGGAAAGGCGGGAGGAGGGCGACTTTGTGCGCCCCTGGAAGGAGGAATCCGCCGTGCCAGCGTGGCTGCAGCAGATGTGGGACACGTTCCAGGCGAATGAGTCGGCCACGAACTCGGGCTCACCAACACTAAAGAACAAGAGGCGGAGGTTGTAAGAAGGGGAACACATATTACTCCCTCCATAAAGAAGGGAGTGCATCGAGGTGCCAACGACAACACCAGCAAGAAGCAAACGGGAAAATGTGACGAGACGAGGGTGTGACACCTTGAGTGTTTTGTCCATGCAGGCAATCGTAGGTTGGCCAAACGCGTACTCCTTCACGCCTTTGCCCGTGGGTGGACAGACGCACGGAGGCACTCCCTTTAATTCCTGCATGCATTATTTGCTTGCATACATGCGGGAGCACACATGAAGTTTTCTCATTCAGCTTTTTCCTTTTTCCTTTTTTTTTGCTTGTTTTTTGCTTCCATTGCAATGGATGCTTGTATCTCTTGCCGTCTTTTTTCCCTATTTTATTTTTATTTTTTTCCGGATTGGGCCATGCGGCACTGGCGCGAGGCCACACACGCCGTGGCACTCAGGCGAGCAAAGCATCAGGTCAAATCGCCGAATAGGCGGGGCGGAAGCGGGAGGAAGAATAACCAAGAAGACAGGAAAAAAGAGGGGGAGTAGGTCGTGGTCGCCATGCACGGGCTCCTGGAAGATGCGCTGGACTCCGGAGACGTACTGGAACTAGAGAGGGCCATCGTCAGTGCACAAAGCACTCTCTTTGCATCGCCGCAGCAGCGGCGTGAAAGCAACTACCTCAGTGGTGCCTTGCTGAAGTGCAGGAAGGCGCTCGTTCAGCACCTCGAGGAGTGTGGATCGCTGTTAAAACCACTTCGGCGAGCCTGCCGCAACCTCGACGAGGAGGCACTGAACGACGCACTCCGCAAGGTCCAACTTGCACCCTCTGAACTGCGTCGTTACATGCGTACCGACATTCAGCAGGCCGAGGCGCTGCGTAGCCGCATGCGCCGTGCTGCGGAGGAAGCACACATGCTTCTCAACTGCAGTGATTGGCGAGAAATAGAGCACTTCCTTGACGCGAACACGGCCATACTTTCTGATCAAACGGTCGTAGCACTTATGCGGCGAAGGGAGGCTCTCTTCGCACAACGCCGTACAATGCCCGTGGCCCCCTTAGTGCATGTGCCAGTGTTGTCGTCAGCGCCTTTTGCTACCGGCTCCTTGCGAAGAGGCGAGAGTAAGGAGGTCACTGAGGCCATGGGCCAGGGAACGCTAGAACGTGAAGAAGAATGTCATCGTTGCGTGTTAGTGAAGGAGGAGCACAGTCAACGTGTGTTGTGTCTGAAGTCGGTGATGGATGCACTGGCGTTGTTGCTGTCGTCCACCGGCAGTGATTCATGCACGTCGACGCAGCGTTGTGAGGCACAGGTGGAGAATGCAACGACGCAGCGGGCGACGCCAGGCTCATCCCAGTCGAACAGATTGCGGAGCAGCAACAGTTGGGGGTTTCCTACGAGTACTGCGGCAACGCCAAATCTTTCGCCCATAAAACTGAGTTTGCTGATAGATTCCGCCCCTCGGCCGCAACAGCGGCCGCCTGCACCCGGCACTTCGGCCGCAGTAGGAGATGCCGACAACAGTTTAGATTTTGCCGTGACGCGTAGAGCCGCTTCTTCCATGTTACGAGAGCCCCAGTTAGTTGTGTCGCCGGGAGTGTTGTCACAAATTCGTGCCTTGACGCAAGAGGAGGAAGTTCATCGTCATGACTTGGAGGGGAGCGAGAGCTTTGAACGCAGCGTGTTTCTTCTTCCAATGGCTGCACGAAGTGTCCTCCTCACACGCGTCTTGCCGCGACGGCAGTTGTAATATATATTTTAATCCGTACGGGCTATTCTATCCACCTCCTACTCACTTCCTCTCTTTTTTTTTGTATTCTTTATTCGGCGTTCTTCTTCCTTCGTTGTATGAGGATGTATTTCAAATGGTTCTTACGCAGAGTTGTTGTGTGTTGCTCCATCTGCGCTTCTGGGTTCGTAGCAGTGCTCCATTTGGTGCCGCTTCTTCTGTCTTATGTGATTCACTTGTTTTTATTTTTATTTTCCTCTGCCTTTTGGTCTGTGTGAAGTGTTTGGCCATGTCAGGTATAACTCAGCCCCGGCAGTGCTGCGGTCGCTGTGCATGCGGCTGCGGCTGCTGCAGACTCCTTCGTGAGGCCTATGCCGCTCGCGAAGAAGAAAAGCGAAAGCGGGGTGCGCGACGTGCGCAGAACAAATGGAGCCCCTTGGACGTGCCGAAGATGGGGCAGGCGGCACGGCATTTTATGACTGACGAGCAGCATAACAATCGGGATGCAGCAGTCAAGCTACGAATGCGTTTCCTGTACTAGTTGTTGAGGGCGTGTGAGGGTGTCCACGTCTTTTTCCGCCCCGTCTCTCTGTTGTTGTTGTTGTTTTTATTCGTTGCTGTGTGTGTGTGTGCTCACTCCTGTTCTCTTCTCCTTAATTTCCCTTCCTCCCTCTGTGCACGGCTGCAGGCCTGTGTGTCCCCACGCCCCACGCGGGGGCGTCGCTGTGGCTAGCGGCACCCGCCTGTTTGCGTTTATTCTGTGCATGGCGGGCACTGGGACTACACGCATGTGTGTGCTTCAACCCCTTCCAACAGCAAAAAAATATTAGAAAAGGAGGAGCGAAGTCGGTCTTCAATCCTGTTGCCATTCTTGCCTTCTCAGCTTGGGCAATTTGTTGCCGTAGTTTTCTTTCTTTTATTATTCCTATTCCTACTCCATTCCAGCTCTCTTGCTGCCTGTACAGCCTGTGTGCGTGTTGAATTGCACTCCCTGCTGGTACGCGCAATGTTCTCCCCTTGTCTCTCTTTTTCTCCCATTCCCGTTCCCGCGTTTACACTCCCCCTCCTCCTCCTCCTCCTTCTCCGCCCCCTCCTCTGCAGAGGAAGCAGGGCCTTGCTTGCATCCGTTCTCACGCGCAAGGTGAAGAATGCAACTGAGAAGCGACAGTTATCCCTCGCCCCAGGGACAACGCGTGGCGGCGGGAGAGGCGTTTTTTTACTGCGAGCACAGCCAGCCCAACGTGGAGACGTCGTATCGCATACGCCTCATTTCTGGCACATCAAACTCCGCCCTGTCGGAAAGTGTGGCAAAGTTTCTGAATCTCTCTCTCTGCCGCACGGACATCAAACGTTTCGCGAATGGCGAACTGAACATTAAGGTCATAGATGACGTGCGCGGCGATGACTGCTTCGTCATCCAACCCACGGCCGCAAATGAGGAGACGGACCTCAATACGTCCATGATGGAGCTCTTGTTGCTGGTGCACACACTGAAGCTTTCATCTGCCAAGCGTATCACCGCTATCGTGCCGTATTTTGCATACAGCCGTCAAGACAGAAAGACAGAGCCTCGCGTGCCTATTTCGGCATCGGCGGTGGCGCAACTTATACAATGCATGGGTGTGGATCGAGTGGTGACGCTGGACCTGCACTGCGGCCAGATCCAAGGCTTTTTCCGGAATATGCCCGTGGATAATCTTCTCATGTTTCCTGAATTCGCGACATATATAATGAGACAGCCGTGGTTTGTAAAGGAGAAGACGGTGGTGGTGTCGCCCGACGCGGGCGGCGTGGAACGTGCCAATGTCTTGGCAGACCGCATCGGTGCCAGCCACATCGTAACAATCCTTAAGCGACGCGTGGAGGCTGGCAAAGTCGACTCCATGCAGACCGTCGGCAACGTCGACGGCTACACTTGCATCATCGTAGACGACATGGTGGACACGGCGGGCACCCTCTGCAAGGCGTGCAACCTGCTGAAGGAGATGGGGGCGGTGCGCCTGGTTGCCTGCGCCAGCCACGGCATCCTAACGGACCCGGCGTGCGAGCGCATCTCCAACTGCGAAGCACTGAGCGAACTCGTCGTGTCGGACTCCATCTCGCAGCAGGCCAACTCGCAAAAATGCAGTAAACTGACGGTGCTCACCATAGCACCACTGCTCGGGCGGGCCATCGACAACCTTCACCGCGAGGCATCGCTGTCCTCCCTCTTCTTAAAGGGGAGGGACTCCAAATAGGGGCGGTGCAAATATACAACGAAAACAACAACAACAAAGTAAGGGCAGTGGCTGCAAGGAGCGCGTGAAAAACAACAAACCAGGAGAAAGCGGCGCAGGGGAGATGATACACTCAGCTCCGCTTTTGTATACATACGCAGCTATGTATTTGCCGTGGGCACGGACAAGGGGGAAAAGAAAAAGGATGATTTTAACTCTGGAAGGCGCCTGCTGTTTTGCTGATTAAAAAGAAACAGTGAGGGGGAAGGGGAGAGCTGGCTGCCCTGCCGTTAAAGCGAGTGGACGGGCGAGACAGAGACGATACTAAAAGAAAAAAAACAGTCCAAGCGCAACAAATGAACCCAACTGGGCTCATCAGCAAACACATGAACACGAAAAGGAATAGGAAAAAAAAACGGTAAGCAACGCTCCACCCACGCGAAAAAAAAAACAGAGCAATAAAGAGAATATTGACTAAGTCCGACGGGATACATCTGTTTTTAGTTTGGGTAGAGTCTCTGAGAACTCTACCCATGTTCCTTAGCCTATGACTCACCCCGCCACCAACACAACACGACTGGTGCCGTCACTTTTTTTTGTACGAAATTGGTTTACTGCTTCATGTCGTGCCTGCCTGTGTCTCGCGCTATTTCTTATTGAAACGGCTAGTCGTTACGAAGCAAATTTTATCGCGCGGCATCGATAACCATGTGGTGGCGCGTAACGAGTGGCTAAAGAGCACCAGAGAGGAGTAAAGTGACGCAGGTTTGTCTGGTCATTTCTTCTTTGTTTGGGAGCTTCCTTGAGGACTGGTCGAGGCTTGCGAAGTTTTGCCAATAACTACCCCAATGAATTATATGCTTTTTAATATATATATATATATATTTTACAATGCACTGCTATAGAAATTAAGCAAAATGCAAGTTTTGACAGGCATCTCAGTTCTCAGGCGGCGCCTTTCAGGGATGCACTCCGCCACTCGCCCATTGTAGTCGGGTGTGGGGCGGCTGGCCGGCGCGAGGGCACTGGCGTTTTGACGCGGCGTGGCGGTCCGGCGGGGCTTTTTGGTTGAGTTCCGCCCGGCACGGTTGGCCGCTTTTGGGGGACCGGTCTGCCCGCTGATAGCGTC